AGCTAAACCTGTTGTTTAAAGGTCAAAGAAATAAACTATAATAAATATTCTTTGTGTCATCAATTTCATTTCCATGTAAAATTACATGAACAAATAAATCACATGAACAAGTGACGTCTAAAGTTTGACGTCTTAACTTAGGAAATGGAACCATATGTTGACCACAATACGTATCAGTGGGAATCTGAAATAGGCTTTGTGTCTATAACGGAGTTAGGTTTCACTTCTCCTGGAATAGGATGAGAGCTAACCCTGATTTAAAAGTAGTCTGGGAACTACTACAAAAGTAATTGCACCAGCATGGTTTCTGCATGCAGTCAAACGGATGAAACCATGCAGATTTAATGAACAGAGTAAATTAACAGATTTTTCACAGGATTCTTATTAGAACTGTTGTTATTTGCACAATTTTTCCTGCTTCACGTATTTAAGCCAAGACTCCCAGCTACATGTTTAGTAAAAAAGTAAAACCACGGCTTTAATAATTGTGAGTGAAAGTAAAAGAGAGATAGGAACATTGAGACTGTGCATCACTTCTCACCCTCTGGTTATGGCTGAACATGAAAAGAGATGATATTTATGACATATTTCATCAAAAGACAAAACAAAACCAAGAACAACAATGATTATTTTCAGTTTTCAAGTTCACCGTATGGCTATATTATGCAGTGCTAGCCTCTCTTTTTCTTACTCTGCTGCGCCAAAATAATGAGAAAAGACCAGCAGAAACAAAAGCCAGCTTTCAAGATCGAACAAAATAACAAACAAACTGTGGGTGTATATGTGCTGTTCGTCTGCTAAGGCCTGAAATAGCACGCCTGTTTTCCTCACTTCCATCATCCACATGGCTGCTCCAGCCACTGATGGTTGACAGTTGTGGTGCATCATCTCTGACTCCTGAGGGTATCTTAGCAGTATATTGGTGCATTCAGATCCCTGAACTTTAAAGCTTTGCAGTGGATGTGGCAGCAGGGGACCAAACAGTAAAACATCACATGAGATAACAGAAGAATATTTCATCCTCTTACAAAAGCTCTCCTCCTCCAACAGACAGAGAATCATAAATCCTTAAAAAACAAACTAAACTAATGAGATGTCTGGATTTATGCCTCAAGCATGTTTAAATGTACCTAACATGAAGAGGTCTGGAGAACAGGCAGATCTTACATGTATCTCAGCTCTGACTCTCTCCGCACGAGAATGTCTCGTATTCGTTCGATTCTGAACAGCTCTCCTTCGATATCCTCGACGGTGATTGTGGAGTCGGCCATGGAAATGACATCATCTGCTGAGAGACAGACAAGATCAAAATACAGCTGTTCGGGTCTGATAATGCACCTTGGAGAGTTTACTCATAGTTCGCTCCGAACATGAAGGCATACAGAGGACCTGTTATGCTTCTGTCAGTGTGCCCCAGGGTGGCTGTGGTTACAACGTAGCTTGCCATCACCAGTGTGGGAATGGGTGTATGACTGGATGTGTAAAGTGCTTTGGGGTCCTTAGGGACTAGTAAAGCGCTATACGAATACAGGCCATTTACCATTTTCCTTATTTTTAAACATGTATGTATAGCTGCAAAGTGTGCACTCGTATTAAACATAGCCAAAGTTTTAAATGATGATCTCAGTGTATGTAATCCGTGAGTGCCCTAAGTGCTCTGTTTTGCCCATTTTTTCACCTTGTGGCTCTGAATGAAGTCACTGGGAGCGGTTATCTATAGTAGACCTGAGAGGTCAAAAGCACAAATATAAAATACTGCAAATATCACACAAAACACAACAGAAATTGAATAAAACACAATGGAAAAAGAAAAAACACTGAGAAAAAATATCACAAAAATCTTGTTGCTTTATTGTCTTTTGTGGAGACCATGAAGCAACAAGCTAACAGCAAACATGTATCTACAGTATTAAAACACACACGAGTGGCTTCTTTTTCTCCATCACAATAGAGATGAATCCTCCGCTTTTTTAAGCGTCTCAGTCTCCTTCACTTTCACAGCTGTTCTGTCACGTTATTGTGTTCCCAAAACCATCTCTGAATGCTATAAGTCAAGAAGAAAGTCACCTAGGATTTTCAAATATTTACCAAAGGTGCATCTACTAAGAGGTTGAGGTGTAGCACTGACGGTCATCAGTATTTTTCTATTTGCTGCTGTTTTCTTAAGCTGCACTGTGTTTGACCACTCAGGCCCACTGTAGATACCCCTGATATGGTCATGTCCGGCACACACCACAGAAGCCCCACCCACCTACTATTCAAATCTTATATTTAAGGGGCAGCCAATCAGATGAAACTAGCTTAAAGAAGAGGAGAAAGAGCTAGCACAGTTTGTTTAAGATGGTGGATAAACAGAGGGGCTACAGCCTCCAGACTTGTTAAGATAAATAAGCATTATTTTGAACTGTGACTTGTGCAAAGCTACTCTGGTAGAGTACATGAAAAAAAAATCTGAACAAGCATGATATGTCCCTTTTAAGTATCTTTTGTTAACTGAATTACCCTGGAAATCCCAGCAAAGCATAGAGTGTGATGAGCAGTCTTCATAAGAACAGCTGATTACTATTACCAGCGTGTGGTTTGCATGTGTAACTTTAATCTATGTATACTTCTAATATTTAAATGTAGCAGCAGGAGAGGTGTACAACTGCATTTTTTCAAGAGATCCAGGTGCAGAACTTTGGTATTGTGGGTGCTGATTCATGCATCACAGGCTAATTATGCAAGCTGTTGCCGTCTGTGCACATTGAAAGCAAAGTCAGGATTGTTGGCTTGTCGAATACTTGCAGTTTTAATTTTAACTTGGTTGCAACAATGGATTTTAACATGTAAGCCATGTGTGGCAAATTTCTCCAGGAAAATCAAAATCAAGATAGTCAAACAAGCAATTAAAACCACCTTGGGTCTAAAACAGCTTCCCGCTACGATGTGATCAGAGCTTTGTGGATACTTCAAAGTAACTCTCTGCACATCCCTGAATAACTGCATTCCCCACCCTGCTCCCGCAGCCTCCTACTCCTCACCAGGAGCGATGAGTCATCCAGCAGAGCTTGGATTGGCTTTTAATTACCCGACCTTGTGTGAAAAGATACTACAATCACACTGACTCACCGGGGAACAGCGAGCCAACACAAACACAAACCCTTAAACTCCCCACATGGCAATCCCGCCGCTGTTCATCTACATATTAATTATCAGCAGGTGTTTTAGTGTTGAAGCAATCTGCATGTGTTCCTTTTCTTGTCATTTTCTTTTGGCTCCGAGCTTTCTGTCAGAAACTGTTTGAAGCTTTTTATTTCACCCTGTCACTTTAAATTATTCACTTTATACAGAAGCTTCATGTCAACACGCAAACTGTATCGTTTACTCGTCTCAAGCACCCAATCCAAAAATCTTTGATGTCGTTTTCTTTCAGATTTTTTCTGCTGCTTTTTTTCCTCTTTTGAATGTTGCTGTAGGTCCATAAGTGTGTGACAAAACTGAAGGCGCAAAGACCCACAAGCAAGCAGCAGCTGAAGGTGACTGCAGCAAAGGCCAAGCAGAGCAACACAAGGCAGGAAACACAGCACAGAAGCACGAGTTCTAAATTTTATCCCACTATTAAAAATATCCATCCATCCATCTTCTTCCGCTTATCCGGGGCTGGGTCGCGGGGGCAACAGCCCAAGCAGAGAAGCCCAGACCTCCCTCTCCCCAGCCACCTCCCCCAGCTTGTCCGGGGGAACACCAAGGCGTTCCCAGGCCAGCCGAGAGATATAATCTCTCCAGCGTGTCCTGTGTCTGCCCCGGGGCCTCCTCCCGGTGGGACATGCTTGGAAAACCTCACCCAGGAGGCGCCCAGGAGGCATCCTTGTCAGATGCCCGAACCACCTCAGCTTGCTCCTTTCGATGTGGAGGAGCAGCGGCTCTACTCTGAGCCCCTCCCGGATGGCCGAACTCCTCACCCTATCTCTAAGGGAGAGGCCAGCCACCCTTCGGAGGAAGCTCATTTCTGCCGCTTGTATCCACGATCTCATTCTTTGGGTCTCTACCCACAGCTCGTCACCATGGGTGAGGGTAGGGACGTAGATCGACCGGTAAATTGAGAGCTTCGCTTTTACACTCAGCTCTCTCTTCACCACAACAGACCTGTACAATCTGCACCAACCCGTCTGTCGATCTCCCGCTCCCTTCTCCCATCACTCGTAAACAAGACCCCCAGATACTTAAACTCCTCCACTTGGGGCAGGAAGTCGTCCCTGACCCGGAGTGGGCACTCCACCCTTTTCCAGCTGAGGACCATTAAAAACATTAATTACTAATTACGGTTGAGTCTCCGAATGCATAGAGCAAGGCATAAAAATGTTATTCCTAAAACAATTAATGAAAAACTTTGTTGGTCACAATCAGAATACTTTAATAATCCATAAGAAATTATGTAGGTTATTGTTGCTCTAAGACAGTAATGGTAACAGACTAATTAAATAATACGATATATTACAAAAATTACAAATTTAAGAAACAGCACTAATATATACAAATTGCTCAATTATAAATATTAAGAATATTACAGGGTGAAATATATATGATTGACACTTAACTCTAACCTCTGTCAGGTCTCTTAGCTATGAGAGAAGTGTGTAATTTCTATAAGCTGAAATTACACACTTCAATCACAGCTTTTACTTTTTGATTTAAAATTAATTATGATAAAATTACAGAAAAAAGTGTCATTGTCCAAATACTTATACCCTAACAGTATACAGACGTTCCCATAAATATATATATATATTTTTTACAAATTCAGAAAAATGTTATTTTAAGTAAAATGTTCTAATTTTGGTCGGCATATAAACTATAGCTGTTGGGACTACTCACTGAGGAGACTTTGTTTGGGCTGCAGAGTTCACACAGCTGCATCATTCTTTAAGTAAGTAAAAAAGTGCACGCCTCAGCTGAATGCACCACTTTTCTTCTTCTTGTGTCACAGAAATGTGAATATGTGGAGATTATCTTCCACTGCGTTTCATTTTTTTTAAGAGAAACAAAAATCAATACGTCAGTTAAAGAGATTGTTTATATTACAGAGGATCAATGACAGTTTTTGCTCCCATTAAAAAAAAAAAAACTAAATTAAAGGATTACTTTCAGGCACATTGCTGCAAACCAAGCTGCTGGTTGCCTCATTTTGCTTTTCTTGCCATTTGTGTATATATTTTTTTAAAATTTGAGTATATTAGGGAATGAAAAACAATTGTATTAAAAAAGGTTGACATCATTTAATTAATTGTCCATACGAGATGGGATTAATGTTGATAACTGATCTATTCTAGTAAACTTCTTACACATAGCCCGCCCCCAGCCCGAGGGAGCCCTGGCTACGGCCCTGCTGACATACAACTTTAACATGATGCTCACGGTGGTGATCTTCAAAGATCTAAAAGTCTGCTTCCTTCCTAGATCACTTCTCGCAGCAACAGCACAAGCACACAGGCAAACTCAAACACGATGCTCAGAAAGTCACCTGCTTTCTCCGCTGCTTCATCCACCAGCGTGTCTTCCAGAGCGCCGCACACTTGAGAGGATTTTCTCTCTTTTTCCATTTTTCTTAAAAAGAAAAAAAGACACTTCTTCTTTGTCTGCAGAGGAAATTCAAAGGAGATTCTCGCACAAGCTTAAAATGAATATTAAAAGGTGTCCCCCAGGTCCATGCAGCATTGCCCAAACGTGTGAGGAAACACAAAGAGAGGACAGCTGCCAGCTGATGCTGAGTCCATTCAGTCCTACAGCCGTGGATCTCTGAGCATGGAAAAAGAAAGCTGTTGCACCTCATGCGAGCTCCGAGGCTCCACCTACTGACTGACAGGAGCAAAGCAATGAGTGCAAAGTGGGAGAATGTGGAAAATTATATTTAAATCCATCAAGAGAGAAAGAAAATGCTCCAAACTAAATTTGTTCTTTCACTCTGAGTCACATTAAGATCTTAAAGGATGTCAGATTATAAGGAGCCTAAAGCCATGCCAGGTGATATTTATAGACAGCAGTGCAGTACTCTTTCCCAAAGATGGGGAATGAAATCTCTTTATGAGCAAGTTCTGCTTTTTTAAATCCAAAACTGAACCGACTTCCCTTCACTTCACCTTCAGAGGAGCACAAAAGTCTGAATCAGAATTCATGGAGATCAATGAACGGAGACATTTTAGTCAAACTTTCAAATCCTTCCCTCAAAAAGTTCAGGTATATCTCTCATGGTTCCACTCTCAGAGAACCATCATCATCAGCGCCAATGGCAGTCTATCTCAGCGTGGATTACTATGGTGGTCATAAAAAAAATCTCTACGCAGGTTCACTGGATGTTAGGCAAAGGCACAAAGGTCACTCCTCCTATCCTCATTTTAAAACAACAAAAGACAACAAAGGTTAAACAGACGTCTTCCGTTTTAATGGTTTCCTCCACTGTAACCACAACAGTAGCACTCTCCACAGGAGAATCCAGCTGTCTATCATCATAAATTTTTCATCTAGCCTGACTGAGTTCAGCTCTCGACAAAGTGGAGAGAACTCGATTTCACGCAGGCGGGCCCTCGAGGCAGCAGGCCAGATGTTCGGGGAGTGCAGCATGCGTCTGCCCGCACGCTAGAGCTGCCACTGTGCCATAGATAGCCATGTCCCACAGCCAGGAAGCCAGCCAGACACTTCACACATTTGTTGCCACAAGCCCAGAAGCACATGAAGGAAAATGACTGCCATTCATGTTATATAACAAGGCAAGAACATCTGTAAGCCTGACAGAGTGAACACTGTTTCTAAAACTGGCTCAAAATGTGTCGCACATTCAAGTTTTGACTATCTACTTTGGCTTTCAGGTCATACAACGTAAGTAGCAATATAATTATTCATATAACACAAACACATAACAATCATTTCTTTTATATACCATTAAAAAATATATTATATTATATGCAAATATAATAATCTTATGGAGCCCTTAGATCAATGCTACTTCACTGCATAGAAATTAAATGTTTAGCACTTTTAAGT